GGATATAATATTCTCTTTACTCCTAGTTGTAGAATTTCCACTCAGCCAGCCCGCCTGTGTTTCTGGATGTTGTGGGTCCCTGGTTCAAGCTTAATTTGAATTGGTTGTTCAAGGCGGCAATCTCCGGCGTTAACCTATGCCGCCATCTTCGGTTCTCAATCAAATCTGGGTTTTTATCTAGGACTCTTTTTATTTCTCCAGTGTTTTCTTCATTTCTGATTGATGTTTTCTAATGGTTTCTTTGGTGTGTCTTTTTGTGTGTGTTTTTTATGTTGTTGAAGTTCTCACTTAGTTCCTGGAGCCTCCCTAACCATTGTTTGAACTCAGTATCTGGTAGCTTGCTTGCCTCCACTTCATTTAGTCCTTTTTCTGGGGATTTCCCCTGTTCTTTCATTTGGGGCATAGTTTTTGTGTTCCCATTTCACTGCCTCTCTGTATTTGTTTCTGTCTGTTAGGTAGATCTGCTGTGTCTCCACGTCTTGGTGTTGTAGCCTTAGTTGGTACATGTGTGTGTCTCAGTAGCCCAGTCTTGCTGGTCACCCAGGCAAAGTGCTCCAAGAATTTCCCTTGCATAGGTTATGTGAGCCCTCCTGTAGTAGTTGAATGTTGATTGCTATTGTCTCATCCATGTGTGGAGTCCACCTTAAGCTGGTTTCCTGTGAGGATTGGCTTTGACCACAGTGTATGAGCTGCCGTTCAGGTGCTGACCCCACAAAGCAGAATTTGCCCCTGCAGGTTATGATGCCTACTGAAGTCTTCCTTCGGATATGTCACTTGTGGAGCTGATTGGGTCATGCTCTCACTCTCATGTCATCTGTTCTTGGCACCAGGTGTGTTGGTTCTGGGGCCTTTCGGAGGGCCTCTGGCATAGGTCAATATCAGATACCATCTGGGACTGGCTGTGGGCTAGAAAGTGATGCACACTTTATGGCTGGCTGCCTTTGGGGGACCTAAGTGAGGTCACTCAACAAAAGTCCCAGGGTACTCCATTGCCAGGTTCCACTATTAGGTGCCCACATACCTTTGTGGTGGGATGGATTCTCAGATAGTCACCAGGAGGAGGCTAGCAGAGTTTATCAGACCAAGATTTGGCCATGTGAAGGGAGGGCCCTGCATAGGAATGGCGGTGCAGGTCCGATACGTGAGGGAAAAATGGCCCCTTCTCTAGAGCCATCACACTGTCCAGGATTCTGCCTGGACTTCCTTGAGAGCTGCAGCTTAGAATGGCAGCGCTGCCTGGAATCAGCAGGGTGTGACTAGGTCAGTGGTCAGCAATCCGCGGCTCGAGAGCCACATGCGGCTCTTTGGCCCCTTGAGTGTGGCTCTTCCACAAAATACCATGTGCGGGCGCGCGGGTACAGTGTGATTGAAACTTCGTGGCCCATGCGCAGAAGTCGGTTTTTGGCCTGGGCGAGTCTATTTTGAAGAAGTGGTGTTAGAAGAAGTGGGGGGTATCGGTCAGTCAGTTGGGCAACGGGAGATGCGTTGCAGGCTGGCAGCGGGATACGCAATGAAGGGGAGGTACATTGTTTTGAGGTACATTCCCTGAGGTCAACCCCTTCCAACTCTCCCATCCACACTCGTCTATCTGAAACAAGTATACAACACGAGTGTGGATGGGAGAGTTGGAAGGGGTCGACCTCAGCGAACGTACCTCAATCAGATTGAGGACGTTTTTAGCAAAGGCCAGCTTAGGAGTACCCTAATTAAGTTAATAATAATGTACCTACCTATATAGTTTAAGTTTAAAAAATTAGGCTCTCAAAAGAAATTTGCTTAAATATGCTTTGAAAAATACTTACTCTTAAAACTTATCAAATGACAAATGTGTGGTTTTAGGTTCCACTATTTTTTAATAGTCACTGGCATCTTTTTATGTGCAGCTACTACATGTATAGAATTAAAAACAATACTAGAAAATATCACTCATCTTTATCCCTTCTATATCTAATGAATCCTTATTACCAGTTCACATTTTTCTTCTACAATAACTTTCTGTCACCCTTTTCTATGAAGTTTATTTTCTCATCTTCTATGATTCGTTTCTAATGAGCCTTAAAAAAAATAATGTCTTTATTGATGTTCAAAAGAGGAAGGGAGAGAGAGAGAAACATCGATGAGAGAGAAAATAGATTGCTCCCTCCTCTTCGACCCCACTGGTGATCAAGCCCACAACCCGGGCATGCGCCCTCACTGGGAATCGAACCCGTAACCTCCTGGCTCATGGGTTGATGCTGAATCACTGAGCGACATCAGCTGGACTCTAATGAGCCTTTTTAAAAAATTAGCTACTTAGGAGGCTGTATATGTTTCCACCCATCTAATATAAATCAAGTATTATTTGCTCCCATGGTTCACTCCCACTCTGTGTACCTTTAAAAAATAGTTGAGTTTCTATTTCCTCTACGTGGCAGGTGAAAGAATTATATTTATCATTATTGGCAGAGAATATTGATTTTATGAGAATACACAACAATATCAATTTCTCATTGTGTTAAGAATAGCATTTATACATATAATTTTATATAACATTTCTATCTTTTCAATTTTCTGTTATCATATTAGTTTTTCATGTTTTCCTGTGACTTGAATTAATTTTTGTAGCCTAGATACAACATAAATAATGTTTCATAGGTCTTGTTTTTGTGATAGTTTGGTAATTAGTTCAAAACAGCACCTAGAATCTGACCAGTGTGACTCAGTGGTTGAGCATTGACCTATGAACCTGGAGGTCATAGTTCTATTCCCAGTCTGGGCACATGTCTTGTTTGCGGACACGATCCCCAGTAGGAGGGGTTCAGGAGGCAGCCAATAGATGATTCTCTCTCACTGATGTTTCTATCTCTCTCCCTCTCCCATCCTCTCTGAAATCAATAAAAATAAAAAGAA